CAGTCGGCCCGGGCTGCTGCCATGGGCAGAGGCACCCGCCCCCTGGCCAGAGGCAGAGCAAGGCTGCGGTCACGCCATGACTCTCCCAGCCCTGCCAACGGCTGCTAAGAGGGATGAAGAGCTGCCGCCCCAGCGTCGGCTTTACCATGGCCACCAGCCTTGGATTTAGTGCTGGGGGAGGCTTGGGGACTTGTAATCCCCTGTTCGCAGGCTACCCCCACGCCACAGACCCCTCCATCCTGCTTGCTGCCGAAGGCAAGAGCCAAGCGTGATATTTTCATCCCAGCTCCGAGCAGATCCTTGCTACCACACTTCTCCTACACAACCAGGCTTTTGCAGAGCGTGGCCGAGGGCTTATCTCCCATCCCACCCCCCCCCAACACACAGGTCTGCCCACCCTGCAAGCCCCCCTGTGATGTGCTCAACGCTGGCCTGACTCTCAGAGGATGCTGAGCAAGCTCAGCCCTTTCTCCAAGCCTCAGTTTCCCCAGCTGCTGGATGGAAACATCCCATCCATGAGGTCACGATAGTGGCTACCATGCCATAGATGGTGATGGCCCCCATTTCTTACCTGATTAGGGCTTGGCTGCTAATTCCTGGAGCCAAGAGAAGAGCCCGGGGTGCGCACATTGGCTCTAGCACAGCATTGTCAAGTCCCCCCTGGTGCCACAGTGCCCACCACACCAGAGCTGAGACAGATGCACCCATCTGCCATGTGGTATTACCCAATCTGGGTATTAATTTTGCCATTTAGCAGAGTTGATCGAGGGCTTTTTTTTCATTTTAGGTGGACAATGGGTTGATTTTCTACCAGCACGAGATGCCAGAGAAGCCCTTCTGGCTCGCCCAAGATGCCATACGTTTCCGTGTGGTCACTCCCACGACCATCTCGGATTCCTTCATCCTTCTCGTGCTGATCTCCTTCGAGGCCAGGTGTCCCCAGCGATTGACTCAGCTATGGAGAAATGCAGGTAAAGAGGGAGAGGCAAAGCTGGGCAAAAACAAGGAACAAACCAGCTCTCCTGAAGTTTGCACAAGCTCCCTGTTTGGGCGTTGTGCAAACTTCAGGAGGGCTTGTTCGTCCAAAGAAGACAGCACCGTGCAGTTTCCCGTGGCCATCCAAGCACAAGCTTTGATATTATGTCAAGAAACCTCTAAAATTGCATCCAACCTTTTGCTGACTCTCTGCACAATTCCTTGCTCCATCATCTTACCATACTAAAAAGTCCCAGTCGATTGTCATCTCCCTCCATTTGTCTGCAATCTTCCTTTTTCTGTCTTGTTCTCACCTGGGTCTGCTCTCCTCTCTGGTTCTTCTCAGGGATGATAGACTTCTGGCTTTTCCCTTTTCCCCTCAGGTCTCCAGCTCGCAAGGGCTCAACGGGCTGAGATCAACACCTTGGTGCTGGATGCTTCCAACCTCCTAAGCCAAATCCCGGTCCCCGAGAGGTCTGCGTACGATGTCGTCTTCCTGGTGACGGTGCTGCCGGCTCATGGGCAGCTCTCGGTGGGTGGCACGGCCCTGGAGCGGTCACAGCCTTTCTTCCTGCAGTCAGACCTGGCTGCAGGGCGCCTGGCATATGCCCATGATGAGGACGGCATCTCTGAGGACCGCTTCAGATTTAAGGCTTGGCTCCGGCCCCGGGCGCAGCAGTTGATCCGTCCTCCGCAGGAAGGGGTGGTCATCTCTGAAGCTTTCAATATAACGGTGACCAGCAGCGAGCCGTCGCGGGTGGTGAGGCAGCAAGAAGTGCTGCGGGTCCCACTGGGCTCTGTGGTGACCTTGTCGCAGAAATACCTGGATGTGGCAGACCCATCAGGTTCCCCAGAGGAGATGGTGTACAGTGTCCTCCAGAGACCCCTCACTGGCCACCTGGCCAACGTACACAACCCACAGGAGCCCATCAACCGCTTCACCCAAGCGGAGGTCAACGCAGGCCACGTGGTGTTTGTTACCACCGGGAGCCGTGCCCCGGGGTCCTTAGCCCTGAGCTTCTCCGATGGCCACCACCCGCCCACCTTGACCTCGCTGGAGGTGGAGGTGCTGCCTGCAGCGAGCACCGCTGCCAGCCCGGTGCTGCTGGAGGTGCCCCAAGACCTGAACAGGGCCTCTGTGTCCCACCACCACCTCCTGGGAGCTGCACAGCCCGGGGCCGGCAATGCCCTGTACAGGATCACCAGGGACCCAAGGTTTGGCCAAGTGCAGGTCAACCAAAAGCCAGTGTGGGGCTTCTCGCAGAAGCAGCTGGACCGCGGGGAGGTGACATTCACCTTCACCGACCTCACCTCTCCCGAGGATGACTTCCAGTTCCTCGCCATGTCGCGGGCAGCAAACAGGACCGGGATAGTGAACGTGACCATCCGTGCCGCAGTGAAGGCTCGGCAGGGCAGCGTGTGGCCCAGGGGCACCACAGCCATCCTGGACACCAGCATCCTTGACGCCAGCGAGCTGGCCAACCGCACCAGGAGCATCCCAGTCTTCAAGATCCGCAGGGCGCCCCGTGCCTGCCGTCTCGTGAGGGTCTCCAGGGACCCAGGACAACCCACCACCCTGATCGAGAAGTTCGAGCTGGCCAACCGCACCAGGAGCATCCCAGTCTTCAAGATCCGCAGGGCGCCCCGTGCCTGCCGTCTCGTGAGGGTCTCCAGGGACCCAGGACAACCCACCACCCTGATCGAGAAGTTCAGCCAGAGCGAGCTGGAGCAAGGGCTGGTTGGGCTGGAGGTGCTGGATGCCAGGGAGCCGGGGTACAGCATTGAGCCCTACAATGCCTCAAAAGCCTATGGCGTCACCCTGCTGACAGCCCCCCTGGCACCCTTGCCCCAGGGCACGGAGCGGAGCAGCCCCAACGCCAGCGAGATGGGGATGCTCCCCACCGCCTGGCTGGGTGCCGGTGCAACTACCAGCCCCAGCCCCGAAGAGGGGGGCACCTTCCTCAGCTTCGTCGAGGCCAACATGTTCAGCATCATCATCCCCATCTGCCTCATCTTCCTCCTGCTGGCTCTCATCCTGCCCCTGCTCTTCTACCTGCACAAGCGCAACAAGACGGGGAAGCACCACGTCCAGGGCACCCCCGCCTCCAAGGCCAAGAACGGGGCCGTGTCGGACCAGGAGACCTTCCGGAGGACGGACCCCAACCAAGGCATCCCCCTCATGACTGTCAATGCCCTGGAGGGCAAGGGCACGGGTCCCCCACCCCAAGGCACGGGTCCCGGGGCGCCGCCAGACCCCGAGCTCCTCCAGTACTGCCGGAATTCCAACC